TATTTTCAGCAGTCAAAAGACCGACTGACTTAAGAACAAGGCTCAAGTGAACTGTATTAGAGGTCCTCCTAGGCTCTATGGCCAACTTGTACATTGTGGTTCTGTAGGGAACATGCATGAAATATCCCAGATCTCTGTGTGCACAGACTGCAGCATCAGCTATTCTGCTGTCTTCCTGGCTTCTGCAGCCAAAATCTCCCTTGGCAGACTTATCCTCCACAGGAGCATAGGAAAGTTCAGTAACATGCACAGGGAACAGCATCAACTAAAAATTATGTATTTCACCAGAACCACTGGGCTTTGGTGTCGTCGTCCTCCCTTAACCAGAACTTTCTATTTTTGTGTCTTTTAATAGTCATTTGCAAGTAATCTTTACTTCAGGCCAGTGTTTTTCCTGCTTCTATGTGTGCCAAAAGAACCCTGACTAGGGCATCCAGAGTAGACCCCTCTCTGGATCCATGTCTTCACTTTGTTTCACCCAATGTAACAACAGTTCCTCCAATGGGGCGGATAACAGTGACCCACTTACAGAAACAGGGCTTAACATTTACTCATCTCCAATCCCAGTTTTGTCACTACCTTTGTTGTCTAAATTGATCTTGAGTATTAATATTCTTTTCACTAACTTCAGGAAGCAGGAACTGCTTGTCCACATTCTGCTCTCTTCAGCTCAAGTTCTTCTCTACTATTATGCTAGAGTGGTTATATTGAAAATTTGGCTTGTTAAACAGGAAGAACAGGGCACTGGCAACTGTAATAAATCCACATAATCCATTTTTGCTGGCCAAATCACGTGTGCCATCATTAATTTCCCAAATCTGCCACAAAGTACATGAGTGATTTATTGAATATAGTCCTGTAACTTATGCCAAGTTCATGAGGTATTCTCTCATTTTAATGTTTCATAGCCATATGAACATCTGTCAACAGCAGAGACAGAATGTGGACCACGTCCCCCTGAAATTATGTGAAGAGCAGATTCTGCCAGCTGAATTACTGGGATTTGGTCTCTCTGAGATAGCAATAATGGAAGATAGTCTGACTCCATGCTCCAAATGGCAATAGTGCATTATGCATGTCTTGTAGCACAGATAGTGGATTCTGCTGTTGAGTGTCAGAGTGATCACGTGCTGTGCGCCCTGTTCAGAGCAGTTCCTAGCAAGTTGAAGGGAAAATGTCCACTAAGATAAAAGTACATGGACTCCCCCAAAGTACATGCATGAGAGCAGCATTCTTTGATGGTAGTTGTACATAAATTTAAGAAGTAGTGACAATGGAGCAGGCAAATGGTCTGCAATGAAGTAGTGTGAATAGAAGGATTGATTTGTAGTAACTTCGAGTTCTGAAATAAATAGGGTTAGTCATGGTTGCTCTCATTTCACTGTTAATTTACCAGGTTCTTTCTTTCTTGGGGGATCTCTAAACTGAAGTATGCTTAAGGATGCACCACTTAACTGATTTAGTACAACAGCTTTGTATTTTTACTTTTTTAAACTAGTCTCTTGTGCTCTTGTCTTTAAGAAGGTTAGGGTTTTTTAAAACAATAGAGTACTGTGTTTGCATCAATCACGTACTAGTATTTACAGATTTGTTTGCACATCCTTTACAAAGTTCTGCCATATGAATAGCATGCATTGCTGAAAACGAGCATAACTGAAGATGAGTCAGCAGTGCCCTGGCAGCCAGAAGGGCCAGCTGTGTCCTGGGGTGCATCAGGCACAGCATCACCAGCTGGTTGAGAGAGCTGATTGTCTCACTCTACACTGCACTGGTGAGGCCTTGAGTACTGTCTGCAGTTTTGGATGCCTCAGTGCAAGAACAACATCAGACTATTATAGTGTTCTGGAGGAGGAGGGTGACCAAGATTGCAAAAGGTCTCAAGGACAAGACCTCTGAGGAGCGGCTCAAGTCACTTGGCTGGTTCAGTTTTGAGCAGAGAAGGCTGGGGGGTGTCCTCATCACAGCCTACAGCTTCCTCAAGGGGGAAGCAGAGGAGGAGGTGCTGATCTCCACCCTCTGATGACCAGCCACAGGACATGAGAAATAGAATGAAGCTGCATTAGGGGAAGTTCAGATTGGACGTTAGGAAAAGGCTCTTCTTTGGGAGAGTGGTTGGTCCCTGGTACAGCGACCCAGGGAAGTGGTCGAGGCACCAAGCCTGTCAGAGTTCAAGGAGCACGTGGATGACACTCTTAGTCATAGAGTTTAATGCCAGGTAGTCCTGCAAGGAGTGGGGTATTGGACTTGATGATCCTTATGGGTCCCTTCAAACGTGAGATGACCCTAACTATTTCAAGGAGACAGAATATGTATTAAGGGATCATGGGGGTGGGAGCAGGGAGGGAGGTAGTGTCTTTCATAAGGCAAGAGTATTCTTTTCTCTCACAGAATAATGACATAAGTTTAAGTGAAGAGCTCTTCTTGTGACAGCCCTGGGCTCTTTTCTCCCAGGCAAATTTCTCCAGAGACTAGAGGAATAATTATGAAATATTGATTTCTTCTTTTTTAGACAGAGGAGGAAGCTGTCTGAAGTACAGTTCTCACCACAAGTCTACTGCATTTTTGCTCCATGGATTTTTTGCTCTTCCTTTGTAGCTAAGGTCTCAGAGGATACTTCTTTGCTTGGCTTAAATTTATTCTAGCTTGGGTTCAATTCTCTTAATAGTCACAATGCAATCCTCCACAAAGCTTGCAAGACTTTTATATTTACTAAAATCTTGTTTAACCCTGTCTTTGTTATTCCTTTTTTAAATGGGTATTAAAGTGACAACAAAATAACTGGATTCTCTTGGTACAGATGGTTTTCCAGGATCTCATCCTGATTCCTCACTTGCCTCAAATGATAGTTCTGTTGTTCTGCAACCAGACACCACAAAACCCCCCCAAACAAAACAACAAAATAAAAACCAAAAAAACCCCAAGGGTTTCACCCTGCCACCACTTTGAGCTCATGATAATAGGATGTGAACACTGTACTGTGTCTAAATACTTTGTTGTAGAAATTTTCATACCCAAGCTGGGATACATCAGCTTTTTAAACTTTGGTGCCAAGGACCCCACTAACTATAGAGAAAATATAAGGCAAATTTTAATACTTGCACTTCCTGAATTCCACTTTCACTTTCTAAACAGGACCTGACCTAACCTGACGGTGGCTTCAAGTTACAGAAACTAAATTTGAAAGAATAGACATGGATGTATTATCTAAACAGCATGCTATTAAAAAAAATAAGACTTCACTAGCACTTTAAGTAAAGTGCTTTATTCCTTTATTTTGCAGTTTTTCAAATTCCTCCAGCATAGGTTTACATTTTAGAATTTATGTGTTTTAGCAATATCTGATGTTTTCATTGGCTTCTGTGTTTTAAATATTTTACTCCTGTGCCTTGTGGGAGTAACTGTTTAATTTGTCTGTACAGTCCTTTTTAATAAATGTTTGTTTCATGTCATGCTTTCTTCCTGCGCATCTGTTATTCACTTATGCTACCAAGAAGCAGCCATATCCCAAATGGTAAGATTCAGCTGTCTTAATTTTACAGGATGCAATTAGCCACAATTCTGTTATACCTTTATAGAAACTTTGTGAACATAAATATGCAGAAAGATCCCTTCTAGTGAGCTTTAGAAAACAGAAAGGAAAAGGAGATAGTACAACAGGTTTTAACATAGCCAAACTTCTCAGTTTTGCCTTCTAAAGTTAAATTGAAAGCAGCAATTCCCTCTCCAACATAAGGCAGAGGATAGCTGCCTTCCCAAGAGTCCTGCTTTGCCATTAGGAGATTATATCAACCAGTGCTTGCTTGAAGTTGCTTCTTGCATCAGACTGGTGACTGAGGAGTTTATGGCAGCACTCCTTAATCCAACTCTATCAGGAATGCCCACATAGGCTGTACACTGCTAGCAAAGGAGGTAACCTACTGCATGGGAATGAAAACAGTTTTGAGAAAAAATGTAATCCATTGACATAGCTGGATTCAGAGAGGAATGTCTATCCCAGACCTCACAGAGCTCAGAACCTGAGATTGGTTAAATAAAGGAAGCAGGATTTTTTTTTTCCATAGGTAATGTCTTCAACTACAGATAAACCACAAAATCTAACAACCACCATAATCTTTCCTTGTACCATAGTTATTCCAAGACAAAACAAATAATTTTGACTTCTGTTCATTTTGTTTAGCAATCTGAATTGTTCAGATTTTGAAACATCCCTCAATAATTTCTGTTCATCCAGATGCTTTTTTCAGTTCCTTAATCCTAATCCCAGCTGTAACATTACTTAGAACAGTGGTCACAAAGCTAATACACATTCATACCTTCCTAAGAACTAACTCTGAAATATTTCCTGTAACTGACATCAGCTTCAGTCATATTTGCCCGAGCTTAGCACGATCCTGCCATAAAATGAGCTGCAAAACCCTGGATCCTCCGCAATCTAATATTAAAGTGTAGCATTAAAAATCATCTAATATATTATAATTTAAGGGGGAAAAAAACCCAAAACAACAAAGCCCCAAAGCTTGTCCCATCCTATACTTGGATGCTTCCCCCACGTGTGTGGGGGAACCCCAGGGAGCCGAAAAAGCGGAGGGGGAGCCGCGAAATGTCAGGGTGGGACCCCAGAGAAGCGGGTGAGGCGCGCGCAGGAAGAGAGCGAAGCCGGGTGCTGAGGCGGTGGGGGGGGCAGCCGAGGTGGCGACGTCGGCGCATGCGCAGTCACGAGCGAGACGCCGGCGATACCGTGGTCATTTCAGGGCGGCCAGGAGCGGGACCGGCGACACATGCGCAGTGGCTCTCGTAGCGCTGCAGCGCTCCCTGCTCAACCTAAGGGCCGGTTCCCGCTGCAGGACGGGACTCGTGGTCTCCCGTCTCTCCCGAGGTGTGTGCGAGGGGAATAAAATGAAGATTTTCGAGGCGAAAGCACAGAAATTAGCGAGGGACGTTCTCCGGGGGGCACCGGAAGTGAGAGCGACCGGACTGTTTTCGACGGCGCACCACCCAAGATGGCCACCTCCCGGACCGGAAGTCTTTCGTGCGAGGCCGCACAGAAAGATGGCGGCGCCCTTACCGGAAGTCCTCCAAGGCCGCACACAAAGATGGCGGCCCCGGCCCGGAAGTTCGCCGGGGCCACACTAAAGATGGCGCCGCCAGGACCGGAACTTAGCCCACCCCACGCTAAAGATGGCGGCGAGAGGTCTCCTTGCCTCAGAGAGGCGTCAATCCTGTTGCCTGACCTCCGCCCCGACCCGGACCCCCACCCCGCGCTAGCAGCGCCGTCTCGCCGCGCTGTTTCCCGGTGCGGGGACAGAGCGGCGCGGGCGGCAGGTTCGTGGGCGGCGGCAGGCACCAGCGCGGGCAGCCGGCCTCGGGGCCGCGGCGCGCGGCTCGGGCGCGAGGACCCCAGGCAGACAGCGGGGCCCGGCGCGCCGCCCGCCCCGTTCCGCCCCGCTCCCGTTCCCGCCCCGCTCGGTCCCGCTGTGCCCCGGAGATGCTGTCGGGGCTGCGCCGCCGCCTTCCCCCCCCGGAAGCGACCCACGGCGGCAGATCCGACGTCGGGCTCTCCAGGAGATCGTCCCCGGGGTAAGCGGGGCCCGGCGGGGGCGCGGCCGCTCTTCTGCCTCTCCCGCGGCCATCGGGGACTGCAGGCAGGGGAAGCGACAGGCAAGTTTCTCGCCTCTGCGGAGAAACTTGCACCTGCGTGCCGCCGCCAGGAGAAGGGGCGGAGAGAGCGGCAGGCGACAGGGCCGGGTTCGGATGTGCCCTGGCATTGCAGTTCCCCGGGGAGGCTCTGTGCTGCCTCAGGGACCCTGTCTGTGCTGCCAGGAGAGAGAAATCCTTTGGGAAGCTGGGATGGAAACAGCAACTCTGTGAATTGCTCAGCTTTTCCTAGGTGAGGGCAGGTTTTAGGGAAGAAAGGCCCGTACTTGCGAAAGGCGCCGCGGGTCTTGCAAGGGTGGGGGGGTCCCGCGGCTGCAGTGCCGCTCCCGGCCGTGTCCGCCAGGCGGCGGCTGCGAGGCCTCAGGGCCCGGCGGTCGGGGCGGGCTCGGAAGCGGTGCCCGTGGGCAGCTGGAGTGTTTTGTCACTCACGGGCTTCTCAGAGCTTAAATCCAGAGTTCGAGACGTCCTAAGGATGCCTTGTGGTCGAGGGAGTGTGTTCCTGCTGAATTCAGCAGGCGTTCGGTGAATTTGGGCTTCTGCAGTTGAATTCAGTCTGGTGGTGTGGTTTTTTTGTTTGTTTTCGTCCTCGGGACAGCGAACCAAATGTTCTTTTTCCCCTCACCGTGGGCGCTCTGAGGAGACCAAACGTCCATAATTCTGCCGGTGACTTGGCTTGTGTTGCCGGTCTGACTCCCAGAATTGAACACGGACGAAGGTTCCTCCCGGACAAAAGCTGTTGCTGCCCCGGGAGTGCCCAGGCTGGCCCAGCCCCTGGCAATCTCTTAGTGAAAAGGGGAGGAACAACTGCGGTTGTTCTACCATTTCTTTAGCCAGGTACTAGAACGCAGACAAAACCAAGATTGTCTTTGACCTGTGCAGGGTCCGAGCATTTTCCAGCCTTCCTTAGCAGGGCATTCTCACACTCTGAAAAGCTTAAAGACTTTAACATCTGGATACACACCTGCAGCTGTGCAGATTAATGTAGTTTCTTTTATGAAATGAAGATGAAGGTTTCCTGTTGTGAGCCTAAATACCAAGTATACTCTGCTTTTTCAATTAGGTGATGAAGCTTCTGGAAAAAAGACAAAATGCATCGAGGTGAGTACATTCTACTGAGTTCTGCTTTTCTGGGATCAGTTTGGGAAAATCATGTGAAATTCTGAAAAGCTTCTCTCCATGTCTTCTAGTTGTTTTTTCAGCCTTGGTCTAAGTTTCATGTAGAAAAGGGCATAGAATTAGAACAGATAAAATAGACCTTCTTGGGAGAGATGGAAGAAAAGTCTGCTGATTACAGTTCTGCTTTTCTTGTCTTCCATTAGACTGTCATTTTCTCTCACCTACTGTTCAAAGAGGCAGCAATTAATTCTTCTTCTGAAGAGTTTGCTGTACTAAGTGTCTGTCAAATTGATGCCTTCAACTCAAGATAGCACATACTTCTTAGTAACGATTTTCTCACAGGAGATTTTCAAGCGTGCCCATAAATCTCATCACTGTTTGGGAGAAGGTTTTATCATCTGTACCAGACTAGTCACGTCATTTGCTATTGAATGCTGGTGGTAATCTAGTCAGAACAGGACCCCGTGCTTCACTAATTTTCCCTTTTTGTTGTTGGGGGTGACTTCTTACCAGGGATGTTATTCTTGACACCCCAGGGCAGATGGAGGTATTCGCCTGGTCAGCGTCAGGAACCATCCTAACTGAGGCCTCGGTGAGTGCTTTTTGTCTGACTGGCCAGTGAAGCTGTGTGTGTGAATGACCTGGCTATTGCTCAGTGTACTCCTAATTAAAGTGTCTTTTGCTCTGTGTTCCCAGGCTTCCTCTTTTCCTTCGGTTGCTCTGTGTGTGCCGGACACCTCTGGCAGGACTAACCCAATGGCTTTTATGTCCAACGTGCTGTATGCCTGCAGGTAAGAAAAGCTGGAAGTGCAGTCCCTCTGCTTTGATTGCTGTGTCTCTTTGGTAGTTCTTTTGGAGGGGAATCACAGAGTGATTTGGTTTGAAGGGGGCCTTTAAAGGCCACCCTGTCTTCCGTGGGCAGGGACACCTTCCACTATCCCCGGTTGCTCCAAGTCCCATCCAGCCTGGCCTGGAACACCTCCAGGGATGGGGCAGCCTCAGCTTCCCTGTGCAGTGTGCTCTAATATCTCTCCACTGCCATCATGAAAAATTTTGTCAGTATGTCCCTTTCAGTTGAAAACAATTATCCCTTGTCCTATCACTACAAGACTTGGTAAAAAGTCTCTCTCCATTTTTCTTATAAATCCCTTTATTTACTGGAAAGCTGCAGTAAAACTTCCCTGAAGTCTTCTCCAGGCTGAATTGCCTGTATGTTGAGAGGGTCTGACATTTCATTTACTAGTCGTACTCACTGTGGGAAAACTCCTGTCCTGAAGGAGTCCACCATTTGCCTTTTTTTCCTAGATGTGGTGGAGCATGTCTTTACAAAAATAAAGATTTTGTAAAACAGATGTTGTTCACTGTTTTAGTGCTAATATTTGAGCTAATTGTGAGAAAATTATTTGGGAAATAAGGTTGTGTCTTCCATTCAGATGGATAGAGAGTTCTTAAAAATAAATTTCCAAAGGGATTTGTTGAGACTATCCCTGTATCTTCCTGCACCAGTGAAGAGTACTAGTTTGACTTAGACAGTAAGAAAGACTGAATTGCAGTGCCAAAATCAGTAATTCTGCTCACCTTGAGTTCTGGCTGTCCAAACGACAGTTCTCTGCAGGCACAGCTACACAGAGTTTGGCTTCCTGGTGCTGCTGAAAATGTCCTAGAATCCCACCATACTGGAGGTTGTTTTCCATGCTTAGTCAGAAGTTCTGTGTAACCTTAGTTGAAATGTAAGACCTGCATAGTGACTTCTGCTCTCTGACTGGGGGACAGACGGCTGGGTTTGAGTGAGGTTTGTCTTCTCCTGATGTTTTAAATGTTCTCAGAATCCACATGTAAAACTTTATCTACAGAAGGAAGCTCAAAATAAACAAAAGAGAGAGCAGCTGGAACACTTGTGGAAGGACATGGGCAGTGTGTGTGTGCAGGGCAGCACACTGGCAGGTACCTCCCCAGGAAGATAAAGGTTACTGCAGAAGTTTTCTGAAGAGTTTGCCTTGTGAAGTAATACAGTGCTTTTTTGTCCTCACAGCAGAAGTGTGAAAGCAGCTCCATGTTAGAGGAGTGGGACTTTAGTTCCTGTGGGATCGGTCACACTTAGCTCTTCCTGTGTCAGTCATAGGTTTGGAAGAAACCCCGCGGTGTAGCTAAAGCAGTGGACCTACTAGAAATAATGAAATACTTTAGAAAAGGTGAAACAGTCAGATTAGAATATGAGAAAGCTCTGCTGTTGGGTGTGCTGTTCCTTATATGAGGCGAGTAGGTGCCTGGAGTCTGTCCTGTGTCTGGGATCCACAAGCAGCTTTCTGTCCCCTTAGGGCAGGTGTTAATTGCTCTGTTTCTGTGCAGATAGAAACCTTACCTTTAGCAAGCTGGTTTGTGTACAGCCGTTTCTGTTCCCTTCAAGGACCTGATGCTTCTGCAGTGGGTCCCTCTGAGCTAATACTAACACGAGGAACTCTCAATGATGAGCAAGAAGACAGGGAGAGTGACACTGATGACATTGACCATGAAGGTAAGGGAATGAGATCTAAAAGCTGCCTGTCTAGTCAAGAAATCCCCTCTATATTTCATGACCTGGATGGACTGTAAGGAGAGCCTAGAAAACAAGCAAACATTCAGTCACCTGACATGTCAGAATCTGTAGCAGAAGCTCAGCTGCAATGGTCAGTCTAGGGATATCACTCTAGCTTTTTTCACTTGTAATGGAGTTAAAACTGAAGGAACGGCATAAACTTGCACGGAACCATGCATGAAGACTTTTATCTGTGAACAACTTCCTCTGATAGATTTTTATTTTTCTTTCTGCAGTAACTGTTGGTCCGATGAGTTAAAGGTCTCGCAGCCAACTGACTGCACATCTGGCCATCTGCCACTGTGGCTTCCTGAAGCTGAAGGAACCAGAAAGCAGTTTCTTTTCCTGCAAATTCTTCAGATCTCTCTGTTGAGAGCTTAGATTTAGAGCTCTGACAGCATTAGCATCCAGAGTACTCACTGGTCCCCAGAGGCATCTTCCGTTTGCTGAGTGCAGTCAGGCATCTGCTGCAGCCAGGGCACAACTTGATCGATCCGCCGTTTGATGTTTTGGTTTTCATTAAGTAGATTTTACGTACTTTACGTACCTGGGCGCAGATCAGCTTCATCATCAGCGGGCACTGCGCAGAAGGTGGGCAGCGGGCCTGGGGGCGGGCAGGGGATAGGGGTGGGGGCGGGCACTTAAAAGATTTCGGCCAGGGAGCTGATCTCAGCCAGCACCCAGTCGGGGCAGTCTAAGTCCCCGTAGAAGCAGAACTGCTGCGTGGGGAGAGGCGGTCAGAGGCGCACTGCCGCTCTGCGTCCTCCCCGCTCCCGGCCGCCGACTCCCGGCCCAACACGTCGCCGCTGCTCCCCGGTCCCCCATGCCGCACAGTTCGCCTTCGCGACCTGGAACCGTCCCGTGTGCCGGTGGGGGGCTCCCCGAGGGGCTCTGCAGGGGCCTTGGGGCCGGGACCCCGGGAGTGCGGCCCGACCAAGGGCAGGGCCCCTCCGACACGGCCCTCGTCCCTCCGCCCGACCACCCGAGCACTTCCCGCCACCCGCGGCCGAGGCCCCGCGGGCTCCAAGCCCCGCCAATCCCGGCCCGAGGCAGCGTCCGGCCCGCCAATCCCGGCCCGCCTTTCTCGGCACCATCCAATCCCGGCCCGCCTTTCTCGGCGCCGTCCAATCACGGCCCGCCTTTTCAATCCGGCAGCGGTCCCGCAAGCTCTGCCCGCTCAGCCGCGGCGCGGCCCGTCCGCGCGGCACCGCCCCCCCGTTCCCCTCAGGCGCTGCTGGGACCACGGAAGGGCGGTGGGAGCTCCGCGGTCACGTCCCATCCGGGAGCTCTCCCAGGAGAAGGGGAGGGAGGCGGGGAGCGGCCCGAGGAGCGGCCCCGGGAGCGGGGCTTGCGGGGATAGCGGGGTTCTCGGGAACGGGCGGGCGGGGATTGGCTGGGCTGGCACGGGGGGCGGGGCTGTGCGGGCCGCGGGCTATAAATAGCGGCAGGGGGGCGCAATTTTTGATTTCAGTGTGCCAAAACCTCAGGACAGACACAGGACTAGTGATACCAACTGTGGTTTTGGGAATATTTACAGAAGGGGTTTTGCTGTAACTCAGTAACTTTGATTCCAAAATTGCTCTTAGGAGGTCAGCAGTGTCTGTGTTTGTGTACATGGTGAAAATTTACATAAGGCAGTTCCACTAACAAGTGTAGTGGGCTCCTGAGAGTAATAAAGAGTTGATTTATATTTCAAAGGTAAATATTACTACAAGGTAATACTCTTAGAAAGAGCCAGGATTCTCTAAAAATTGTCACATAGCACCATCTTCTGAGCAGCCCCTGAATGGCAGCTGAGCTCATGGGTTTCACTGTACACTCAAGCAATAGGAGCAAACTTGGGTACTCAAAACCTGACTTTCCAAGCACTACATGATGAGAAAATGCCGCGGTCCGCGGGGGGAAGGGAAATGGGACCGGGCACTGCAATAAGGGTTCTAACACAGTTGAGGTCTCGTACAGCAATGCCGTTTATTTGGGGGAAACAAGGGTTTAAATAACGTAGGTTTGAGGGGTGGATTCTAACCTGGGGAGGCGCAAGAGATTGACAACTCAGGGAAGAGTGTGATAGGGGGACAGGGGAAAGGTGGGCGGAACTCTCGGGTCTCTGAGGAAATGAGCCAATGGTAGCTCTCTCTGCATGGTGGCAGGTTGTGACCAATGAGCAGCAGAGGAGCGGGAAAACTGGGGAGACAGGGTGACAAACAACTTTTGGAGGGAAAATCTGAGGGAGAAAGGGAGACAATATGGAGGTAGGACAGAATTCATAACATTTAACAATAAACTGAGGTGCATAAGAATTCATAAACACACAACAATAGACTGGAGAAAAACTGTCAGTCTGGTAGGTAAATTATCAAGTAACAGGTCCCTTTAGATCCCATTTATGCTTTTCCAGGCAACATATCTTTCCCAGTCTGTCTTCTTATCCAGCACAAGAAAAGTTGTATCCAACTTGCTGAGGAAGAGCACTTGGATTATTAAGATGTGGGTCTGTGTTTAAAAGGTTCGTCTCTGCCTTGATTGAAAAGTTCCAATAATATTGAATGTAAGCCATTCAGCCCTTGGTTTATGCAATTCTAAAATATCTAGCACTGATCAGTTGAGACTGTGGTTTAGCAAAACTGTTTTATGCAAGAAATTAAAAATTATACACTATATTTTTGCCTATTTTATTTTTGTTCCTCTTTTATGCATTAATTTTATTATTAAAAAATGTTTTCTGGGTAATATCTGTGGTGATACCTTTGGCTATACCTTACAGGGATATTGCAATTTTGCATAAATTATTTGGTCTAAACCTTAGAGTATTTTCTTACAATTCATGTAAACTGAGCCTTTATTGGACTTTGACTTAGATTAAAACAGATTCATTCTCTCACCAAAAAGAAGTGGAACTAAAAGTTTCTAGTATTAAACTTCCTACTGGAATAATACACTTTCAGATATATTTTTTTTAATATTAACTGTAAAAGATTAATCTGTATTTAAAATAGCATATTTAAAAGATCATTCCTGGACAATCATTCCCAAGTGAGTAGTCCAAGCAATAAGTGATGGATATATTTTCTTAGTCATGTATGGTTGGCTGGTGAAGTTAGTACCGTCCTCTTCTCTACATTTCATAAGTATTCATGTACAAGAGGACAAGTTTCTTAGTTATTCTTGCATATTTAGAGTTGCAATGGAGCAAAAAGTCCTCAGGGCTGTGGGTCTGAGGAAGAAAAGGTGTGGAGCCTTTAAGGACTCTGTGTGTGAATGATGTAGTGGAGCTTTACTGAAAAGCAGGAGTGGTTGAACGCAGCACTTTGCTGTCGGGTTTCTTTGGCAGGAGAGGAGGTCAGAAGGGATTTCAGAGATAAAAAGAATACAGCTTTACTGGGGGAAAAGAAAAAGCAGACCTGCCTCTTTCTGTGAGGAAGTGCAGAGGAACTATTTCTGTTCTCATAAAACGCCCCCCTTTCCTTGTAAGAAGAGATGGGGAGTAAGAGGTGAGGCTCAAATAGCAACTGCAGGTGCTCTCAGCATACAACCTGTTAGAAATGCTACATCATTGTGACCATTACAGAAATTCAGTTTAATCTCTTCAGCAATTAATTGTAATCAATAAGAAAATTCACCATGGGAAGGACTCACTCTTAAATGTGCAAATAAATTCATTGCAATTTATTTAACTGAGGTCAGAGAAAATGAGGTAATTTCAGTGAACCATTTTGTTTTTGAGGAGTCAGATACTGAAACCCAGGTATTTAGTATCTATTCAGCATCATGCACCCCATCTCTGAGTCTGGGGTCACGTGGGAAGCCAAGAAATGACATAGTGTGATGACACTGTACAGAAACACATGGAGGAAGAGACAGGATTAGCCTCACATGGCACTTTATTGCTTTCCTTCCAGGAAATTACCTTGGACATTCCTTCCAGACACAAACAACAAATTGTCCCTTTTCACGTTAAAAGTTTTTTTTCACTCTTAGAATTGTTAGAGTTGGAAAGGACCTTAAAGATCTCTTGTTCCAATTCAACCAGTTGAGCCTGTACTGTAGAAAAGCTGGTTTTGTAAGTTCCTCAGCCAAGAAGGCAGAAAAAAGAGAAGGTGGCAGCCAAAACTTGTTGATTGGGGAGATCAAATATGCTTCAAATTTCTATGTATCTTGTTGACTTAGTGAAGAGAGTATCCAGAACAGTCTTAACTTATTAACTAATCTGTGTGTTGAAATAACTAGGCCTAAATATTTCCCTAATATGTTTATTCTACTGTGGCATCAGGGAAATAATTTATTTTTTCTGTGACAGCTGTAAGTAGCTCTAGCAGAGTTTTCCTGCCTTGTAGCTGTGTTATGAGGAATGCTCCAGTTGCAGTGCTGAAAGTATCATTGGTAAAGGGATTTTTCTGGGCTAGTTGGTTCTTATGCTCTTGGCCTAAATATCTCCTACTGGTAGATAGAGACATGACAATGGTTAAGCTGCATCTTTAATCTTTTCCAGAATTGATTTCTCAGGTAAGTGGTGTCCCTGCTCCCCATTGTGTTATATAAAGTATCATTGCTGGTGCAGTTCATGTAGAGATCACCCAGACCAAAGAGGAAAAAAGTTGTTTTAAGGCCCAGGACTTAAAAGGCAAGAAAATACAATGGGCAAAGAAGATTGGGGCTCAAATCTTCTTTGGGCAAAGATTTGGGCAAAGAAGAAATAGCACAACTGATATCATTGTTCCAGTAAGAGTCCTGATAAGAGGCCCAGAGCAGTGCAAGGTTGGGATGAGAGGGGATGGCTCCCTCTGGGAATGGCTCCCTCTGGGAATGGCTCCCTCTGGGAATGGCTCCCTGCCACCCTGTCAAACCAGCCAGATGTGCTGCAGCTGTCAGGGATCCACTGAGCAAAGATGCTGCACAACTATTGCACCCACTCATGTTTGCAGAACCAGGAAACAGGAAGGCAGGACACCTCATCAGAGAATATCTCCAGCACTTCCGCTCACCTAATAATGTCTAAGCATCTTCAAATTCTCTCCAGTTTGCTTGTTTTCCATCTTCCTGTTAGGTGTCTAATTTCCTTTTTTGGATTGCTAGTTTCCTTTCACGTGATTTTTCACTGTTGTACAAATAATATACGTAAAACCCCCCAAAACCTTAAACAAACTTCAGTACTAAAACCACCAAGGAACTTCTTTCTGTAGAAAATTCAATTGTGTCACTTTGTTGCTTAAATTCAAATATCTGCTCAAATTTTATGTTTATGTTTTCTAACACTCAATATTTCATCTTATGATAGTTCTTGTCAAGGTTTCATCCTAAAATAGATTATTTTGAATTAATTCATGTTTGGAGTGTGAAATATTCCTCTGATTCTTTACAAGCTGAAATGAAGTTTAATATCAACAGCTTCAAACAGCATGTGCACAACCTGATTCCCAGCTGGCACTTCCAGACTCCCAGTGTCTGTTTTGATGTGCCTCTTGCAAGTATCTTGACATTAGTTGTACATTGTTTGTATAATTTGTGTTTTAGAGTCTTAAAAATGGGCATTTGATGTCAGGGCTTTCCAAACAAGAGTAGAATGTATGAGGTTGCACTGGTTCCTGGCAGCAGGGATGTGCTTTTATAGGAGAACAGGAGAAAAGCAGGATTTAGAGGCTGAGTGATAAATAATAGTGACCCTCTCTCTCTGTCCATACAAATCCCTATTTCTATAGAAGGGTGCACATGGCTGTTGCATGATCAAAGCAGGATGGCAGCGAAGAGAGAAAAAATGATGGAATTTTTATTAATAATGTTAGAAGTTAATAATGTTTGCTGCAAAAAGATGTTCTAAGTAGGGGGTCAGACAGGATGAGGGAGAGAGAAATTTAACATCCATCCTACATTCCCAAAGCTCTTATTGTGCAGGTTCACTGTCAGTTTGGTGGTTGGCCCCTTGTGTTTGCTTCAGATTATTGATTTAATGGGAAATTAAAGTGTCTTCCTTCTCTGATGGGAATTCTGGAACCCATGACCCACGAGCTGGCTTAGGGTTTGTTCCCCATTTGGTTGGTAGAGGTTTTTATGGATCTTTTGCTCTTTTAAAGTACAAAATGAGATTGATCCTTCTGTGTTTTCTGGTTTTGAAAGGATGGAAAAAAACCCCCACAACGTTGTTAAAATATAGTCTAAATTTTCTTAGCAGAGAAAGTAAATTTTATTTGAATGTAGCATGCTATATATAAACATAATTCATTTTTAAAGTTAAAAATGTTCTTCCTTTTATAAATATGCTTATGACATTTCATCTTTAGAGGCATTCAATAGGCTTAATACTATAAAGTTTTTAAAATAGCATATTGCTGAATTCTGATAACACAGTATTCTATCAGGAAAGTT